TCTGTCACCAGGTAGTGTAGCTTGGGTTATTAGAAACATACTGCCCATCTTGCAACAAATCTGCAGCTCTGATGCACTGTGGCTCTCTGAAAACTAAGGGAAAGACTATTTTTCAATTAAGATGCCAGAGACAGAACTGGGAACCTTATGCTACAACCAGAATAACATGCTCTACTATTGAACTATTGCCTCTCATAAAATGCATTGTGGGGGTGCTCCTCCTGATATTCAGACAGAACACTGCTTGGAAAGAACTCTAAATCACATGCAAGCCTATTTGGCTCCTGGGTTATCTAAATGTTACCGCAGCAGTTTGTGAAACAGGAACTGTGTGGAACAGGTACTGTGGAAAGCGCACTACATTCAAGAGACTGTGGAATGGATTTGGGCATCTCTATGGAATCTGGAGAAAATATAAAATCCTCCAAGGACCAAGAAGGTCATGAGAAAAGTCTCATCTCATGCAAAACATGCCAAATCTCCCAAAATAGTACACACACCTCATTGGAGACACACATTTTTGTGCATTTTCTTCTTTATTTCAACACTATGATTCAAGAGCCTAAAACGCAAGTTTTTCCCTTTGTATTTCTGCATGTAGCACTGCAATCATAACTTACAAAAGGTTTAATACACAAAATGTACATGAAATTACAATACAAGGCTCTGTAAACATCTAGAATGTAACCTTTAGTCTTAAAATCATTATTGTCCCACATGGTTAAATATAAAACTTCAATTTGAATAGTCTCCAAACCTCTCAAGGAATGACATTCATTCTGTGTATCAAAAATAGAGTTTTCAAAGTTTTGTTTGCATACAAACAAAATTTGTCATTTTTTTCTTCTTCTTTAATCTTTGGTTTACAAAGGATGGCAGTTCCATTTCTCTGATGAAGAGTTTATTACAATGAGTGCCAGATTGTGGTCAAACTTTGGTAAAGCCAAAACTGCTTTTAGTAGCCCATATCAAATGGGCCATGTACTGCCTCCTCACTTGATTAACAAAAGCCTCCACTCTTTCTGCTGAGAGTTGTTTTTGAATGCTTCCCATAATATTTTTTTTAAAAAATTGGACATCAGCATAGAAAGCAATTGTGCAGATTTGGAGGCGGGAGAGGCTAGCAAGGTAGATGCCAAAGTGCCAGTCACAGGCGGCGGCTGCTGAAAATGGTAAGTTGCATAGTCCAATAGAAATCATGTGCTTTTATATCCACTACATTACACAAGATTAACAGTCTTTAAATCTATAGCATCACACAAGCAAAACATTAAAATAAAATTAAGACCCTTGCACTGAAGTGTTTACAAGGCAAATACAACCATTTTTAGTACCCAAAGTCTATGTTTTTGTTTTAAATAGGAAAGCAGTTCTACATCTACAGGCATCAAGGTATTTAAAGGCATCAGAAGATTTTGTGAACCATCCGCCAATTCCACAGCTGCAAAAATCTCAATTTGTTTCAGTAGCTTGCTTGCAAGGGGCTCCCCTGTGCAAGCCCTGCTGAAATGGAGAGAGGCTGTAATGGTACAGCTTTTGGTGGATTGCTCACTTAGTGCATAGCAACACGGGATTGTTTGGGTTCCCATCTTTTAGGAAAAATATAAATTCAAAACTACTCAGGAGGACTTAGAGAGGGAAGTGGCTACACCGCACACCACCAAGGAGCATAAAACCCCACGGTGTATTGAAAGCTCTGAAAACTTGAAATTTCCCTGCAACCAATCGTTACTAGAGACCCATTACTACTTACGGAGTGAAAACTGTAATGCAGGAATTGTCACCAGCTAGACATGAAAAGGCTAAGGCAATTTAAAAAGGAGTGAAGTGCTACACATGTAACTAGCTGTACTTAAGCTTCTTTTAAAGCTATTTAACTTATGTGAACAGAAGACAGACTTACTTGAAAGCAACACTACAGAGAGACTACCTTTTCGAAATGACAGTATCGCTCCTTTTGATTTCTAATATTTATATATAACAATCTAGTAACAGTAGTCTAATAACATTACATATCTCAAAAAGTTAATTAAAAGCAAATTTACTGGGGGAAAGGGATGAATTTAAGAGCTACTCCAATTTGACATCTACCTGATTAAAGCATTCAAGATAGCTGTTCATATGAAGGCCACTTCCTTCCCTCTTGAATTGTAAATTCTAACCCCCAAAATTGTATTTGCTTTGACTGTCAAGGTTAAATATACCGTATTTTTCGCTCTATAACACGCACCTGACCATAACACGCACATCGTTTTTAGAGGAGGAAAACAAGGGAAAAAACATTCTGAATGAAACAGTGGATGTATCATTTTTGTGCTTCATGCTGTGGCCACAGACATGTGATCTGATGGTGAATTTGGGGTGACCCAATGCAAAAATCCTGATAATTCCTGTGGATCCATGCTTTGTAACCACGTTTTTGCACCATTGCAGCCCCAGGCAACAGTGGGTGCGTGATTTTTTGGGTGCAGGCTGTAGCCATGGACATGCTATGTGATCTGATGGTGAATTTGGGGTGACCCAATGCAAAGATCCTGAGAATCCCTGTGGATCCATGCTTTGTAACCACATTTTTGCACCATTGCAGCCCCAGGCAACAGTGGGTGCGTGCTTTTTTTGGTGCAGGCTGTAGCCATGGACATGCTATGTGATCTGATGGTGAATTTGGGGTGACCCAATGCAAAGATCCTGAGGATCCATGTGGATCCATGCTTTTTAACCACATTTTTGCACCATTGCAGCCCCAGGCAACAGTGGGATCTATGCTTTGTAACCACATTTTAAGTGGGGAGCGAAGGAAAAACAAAGAAGGGACATGAGAGGGCAGAGAAGCAGCTGGCTAAGAATGCTGGAGAGGGATTTAACCGGTGGGAGAAAAAGAAAGGCAAAAGTTCCCCCCCAAGCCAGCCATCTCTCTCTCTCTCTCTCTCTCTCTCTCTCTCTCTCTCTCTCTCCCTCCCTCCCCCCTCTCCCTCTCCCTCCCCCACTCTCTCTCCCTCTCCCCCAGCAGCACCGGAGCACAGAGAGGAATTAGAAAGAACGACACTCTGCTTGCCTGGAGGGGAGGGGCTTTCCCTGCTCTTTGTTCCGTTTCAGCAATCACAGCAAGGAAACAGAGGAGGGTGGGCAGTAAGACCCTGAGGCAGAATGCAGGAAAGCAACCACTTCCTCTTTTCAGGTTTCCCTTCTCCGTGACTCGCGATTTGACTTTTGCTTGATTTTTTGGCTCCAGGGACCACACATTCGCTCTATAACACGCACAGACATTTCCCCTTCCTTTTTAGGAGAAAAAATCTGCGTGTTATAGAGGGAAAAATACGGTATATATTCCAAACTTTAGGAATTTTGTAGAAGACAGGCATTATGTTTCCACTGAAGATAAGCAAAAACATCTGAATGTACTGTATTTTATTTTACACTGAATGGTGGGCCACTGGCAGACCAAGTGACAAATCAGTCAGCAGAACATTGCCAGTTGGGGCTAATATCTGTAAGTGCCCTCTTGATAGCTAAAAGGAGGCTTAAAGAAGACAAAGCTCTCTTCACAGGAGATGTGGGAAATTGATTAAAATGCATTGGGCTTCCTACCTGGTGGGCCAGAGTTAGAACAGATTTCCAGAAAAGGATGGCCTGATTTGGATGGGCTCTTATGTTCTTTCTGCACATATATCCTGGGGATGCAGTTAAGACTTACAATGTTTTTACAACAGGCCAGGCCAGATTAATATTAACTTGATCGCTTTCTTAGCAATCTGGAGTCCCTCTTTCTTATTTGGCTAGTCAAAGCTGAATAAGCTGGATTTTCAATTTTTTTAAAGAACTCAATATTCATACAAAAAGCAACATAAATATACTATCTAACGGGGATTCTGGATCTTACATGTTTGGATTATGAATTTGTAATTGCCCATCTTGTATGAAATACTAACACAAAGTTGTGTCACTCTGATGTTTCAGCTCCAATCATGATTTTTTAAATTCAGGGTGGTCTGAAATTTCAAAATGAAGTGTAAACATGATTCCTTGATGGTGTGGGTTGCTGGAAGTACAACAGGAGTTGCAGAAGGGCAGTCCCCACTAATTTCAATGGCGCTTGCAGGAGAGAAATTCATGGTGGGTGTGCCCTGATGTCTGTTAACTACTAGAAAAAGCTACCTGTCAGCAGTGTTAAGCACAACTGTTAAGAGCATGAGCGGCTAAACAGTTTTTCACTATTTATCAAAACCTGTTACATTTCCTTTACTACATACTGGGACTAATCAGATTTCTTGAAGGAGGAATCCCCATGAACATAAGTATCAAAATGTTATAAAGAAAATATTTTAAGAAACAAGTCTGAGTAACAAGAGATATAAATTGGATTTGTCTAGGGGTGGGGTGAGGGTGGGGAGACACACCATGGACTAAGTGAAAAACCCTACCTGAGGGATTTCAAGACAGTGTGGATAACCCGTACTTAAAACTATACCAACCAAAAGGTTTCCTTATAGAGCATGGCTTTTTAGCATCCAAAAATCTTGGTTCTCTCCTTAAAAATTAGCATTTTATAAACTTTTCTGAACTAGAAAAACCTGTTTCACTTATAGGGGGGCCTGTGCTAGAAAGGGGTATAAAGTTATAAAAGTTAGATTTTGGAATGTCATTTTAATCCCAATATTTCCATGATGGAATGGTCTCTTTGCAGCCTACCAAGGATTTTCAATGTATAAAGAACAACAGACCTACATTTGGCTTTGCTTCCTAAAAGTCCAAAGAAAATGCTATTTTTTATACGCAAGACTTCCAAGGCATTGGCTTAAGATGACAGGTACTTTTGTGCCTCTGGAAGATTTCATTATAAAAAAAAGTTCTCTTTCAAACAATATAAGCTTAAAGGCTCTTCAAAAAGACCCCCAAAAAGGTATACAAATTTATATTACAGTCCTAATATCTCTAAGGAAAAGCAGCATATGAAGATGTGTATTTTTAAAAAAGAATTCCCACATTCAGTACTGTGCATATTGAGAGCAAAACTATATTTCTCCATACAATTAAGCACTTAATATAAAAGTATTCTATTAAATGCACAAAACAAGCATAGCTCATTGGTATTTTTTCATGGTTAAAGTATCTTGGGTTGCTTCTTTGTGTCCATTTTTACAAAGTAATTTTTACAGCATCCTAGGAAGCTAGAAGTGTAACCGTTTCCCCACCCTCCCAGAACAGCTATGCAAAGGATCCACTGTTCCAGATCATCAAGGCCACAAAGTCGGAAGCACAGTAAATCTAAGGAGGGGGATGAAGCATTACTCAAAGGAAAAGTGCGAAGCTTTCTGGATCACTAAGTCACAAGCTTAGTAGCTACTGAGCTCCATCTGATAGTCCTGTCTCCAGAGATGCAGAAGATGCATGCGAAGAATGGATAGCCACCCCTGCTCCATGGGACACCGAGATCTGTGACATATCTCTTCCTATGATTTCATTCACTGAAAGGAAAGAGAAAGGATTAATGTATTTGTTCAGTTTTCGTAAATATTGTTTTCTGAGTGGTACATTTTCCAAACTCCATTCTGGATGATATTTATATAATTTCATATTAAACACAGTTAAAGCTGAACAGGTTTAAAAATCTCTATAATACCATTGAAAAGAACGTATGCAGGATGAAACTAAGCTTTTAAACAATACAAAGGGGCTGGAGAGATCATGCTTTTTTGAAAGTTAGAATGTCAGACATTTCCTATCCCATTTTTCAAAGATTCACAGAGCAATGTGATGTGCTTTGCACACGAGTAAAGATCATTACGTCACATTTTCAGGACTGAGGCATGCATTACAAAAACGTTCTGATGCACTCTGAATCAAAGCAGTCTTTTTTTGTCTTTTGGTTGGAATACGGTTGTACCTTGGTTTGCGAACGCCTTGTGAGTCGAACATTTTGGCTCCCGAACGCCACAAACCCAGAAGTGAGTGTTCCGGTTTGCAAATGTTCTTTAGAACCTGAATGTCTGATGCACGTTCCGTGGCTTCCGGTTGGCTGCAGAAGCTGCATGCAACTGGAAACAAGCTGTCTTCTTTAATTTTTGTTTAATTTTTGGCAGTGGATGTGTAGGTGTAAACAATGCATGAATTCAGAAACTTATGTCATGTGGTATGCCTTAATTTCTAAATAAGAGGCATGGAGTTAATCTTATACAAAAGTCATACTTCAATCCCACTTCAATCCACTTCTGGTCCTGCGAGACAGAGGAGCAGGAGAGGTGGGGGTAGGAGGAGGAGGTGTGGAAAGCCCTTGACTACACCAGCCTGACCTATGTTTCCCTCCTCCTGCATCTGGTTCTTCACTTGTCAATCCTGCTGCTCTCCTGCCTGTCCCGACTGTTACAGGCTCCCCCATTCCACTGGTCCCTTCTCCCGGTGCCCACTCATCAGTATCCAGCCACCACTCCTTAGTGTCTAGCCAGTCCCTGACAGTGAGACTGATGGGAGTGCAAAAACATATGGGGGGCCCTGCTTCAGACAACGTGTCTTGCACTAGCTAGCTTTCTCTTCTACAGCTAATGCAAAACAAATATGCAACTCAGCAATACTCTCAATTGGCGGCAACCCCCCTCTCCAGCTACACTGCCAGATGTGTCAGTGGGCATCAGCCATCAGATGCAGAAGAGCACACAGTGAGGCACTCTGGAAAACAGAACTCTTAAAATAGATACAGACAATGCTCCAGTAGTCTAAGCTATGCTTGAGCTTCAATGGATTTGTTCTCAGCTGCAGCACGTGCTATCACATTCCCTACCCTAAAAGCTCTTCCCTGTCTACTTGTCATTGCTTCCAAGCAATTTTGGCAATACCTAGCAGTTCTGCTAAGATGCCTTCAAAGAGCCCCAAGGGCTAACAACCTCGAGTTTGTTTTTAAAAAGTAATGTTTGAATTTGTCAAGAACATGATTTAATACAGATTGATTCTCCTTGCAGTTCCTTTTCTATAGCGTAGTGGGCCCATGAGGTAATTATTTTCCATACTGCTTCTGAGTTAGTTAAATCACCTTGAAAATAAATAAATTTTGCAGGGTTATCCTAGTCCTGCGCTCAAAGTCCCAACATGTCCAGAAACAGACAGAGGAATTATTTTCTTCTTCCCAGTTTCTTTGAGAAACTTGCAATCTCATAGCAGCAGCAGCTTAATTTTAAAATGTGGAAATGCAGAGTTAATGCTTACCGCTAAAGGGAGAAATCAATGTTTTATGTATGGAGGTAGTATTGTTTGTCATATTATGCATTTTGTGTTTTTATACTATAAACTGCCCTGTGATCCTTGGCTAAAGGGTGGTAAATACATTTAATAAATTATAATAGTAGTAATATAAGTGCCTGTAAAAATTCACAGGCAGGACTGAGATTGGTGAAGAAAATGATGACAAAGTCTCTTTTTCTCCCTCTATCATTATCCTTACTCCTGCCCCCAGTTGGCCAGTATTTTGGGGCTGAGTTGGTCACTTTTCTTAGCCACACACTCTGCAGCCTGGCCAGGAAGTTGTTTTGGGACTACACACAAAGTCAGCATGGGCAAAGAATTAAAGAAGCACAATGTTTAACAGCCTACAAACATTAATAAAATTGAAAGTACTGAGGAATGTCACATGCAGAGCTTACAATAAATAATTAAATTTTGAATGGTTTGAATGTATGCTGCCAAAATCTTTCCATCATAACTGAAACTAATAATTTACTATGCCAAAGGTCCTCGGGTGGCTCAATGGGTCAGTGCATTTGGCGAGAAAGTTGGTGGTTTGAGTACACGTAGGGATGTAGCCAGGATTCCTGCATTGCATGGGGTTGGACTAGATGACCCTTGGGATGCCTTCCAACTATAGTTCTATGATTCTATTATTCTAAGAGACTTGGAACATACTGCCACATTTCTAAAGTTAGAAGCTGATTAGTTAACAAGTCAGTCTACTGGTAAGAGGACAGGGGACTACATGTATTGCACTTTTATTCTTTTAAATATGTGATTTTGATGCTGATTCAAATAATGCCTTAGTACAGAAATAAAATACAGTAAAATCCACTGTCAATCCTATCCATACTACAATCCATACTACAAATGACAACACTGTCCTTATATGCACTGCAAACTATTGAACACACTGCTGTTCAAGTCAATAATAATAATAATAAATTTTATTTATATCCCGCCCTCCCCAGCCGAAGCCGGGCTCAGGGCGGCTAACAACACTAAAACAGTACAACATTATAAATACATTCTAAAAATTAATTAAAATACAAATTGATGGCAACCATAGACTAAAGCTTTGTAAAGATTGCCAAAGGAGGGAGTCAGGCTGCACCCTGACCAAAGGCCTGGTGGAACAGCTCTGTCTTACAGGCCCTGCGAAAAGATGTCAAGTCCTGCAGGGCCCTTGTCTCTTGCGACAGGGCGTTCCACCAGGTTGGAGCCGCAGCCGAAAAAGCTCTGGCTCTAGTTGAGGCCAGCCTAACCTCTCTGTGGCCTGGGACCTTCAAGATGTTTTTATTTGAAGACCGTAAGTTCCTCTGTGGGGCATACCAGGAGAGGCGGTCCCGTAGGTACGAGGGTCCTAGGCCGTATAGGGCTTTGAAGGTTAAAACCAGCACCTTAAACCTGATCCTGTATTCCACCGGGAGCCAGTGCAGCTGGTATAGCACCGGATGAATGTGATCTCGCAGCGAAGACCCCATAAGGAGTCTCGCTGCGGCATTCTGCACCCGCTGGAGTTTCTGGGTCAGTCTCAAGGGCAGCCCCACGTAGAGCGAGTTACAATAATCCAGTCTGGAGGTGACCGTCACGTGGATCACAGTGGCTAGGTCAGGGCGAGAGAGGTAAGGAGCCAACTGCTTAGCCTGGCGGAGATGAAAAAATGCCGCCTTTGTTATAGCTGCAATCTGCGCCTCCATGGAGAGGGAGGTATCGAAGATTACACCCAAACTCTTAACGGACGGTGCTGGCATTAATTGCACCCCCGCAAGAGAAGGGAGTTGCCCCCTCAATCTCATATCGTCCCGTCCCAGCCAGAGGACCTCTGTCTTCGAAGGATTTAACTTCAACCGGCTCCCACGTAACCATCCAGCCACAGCTTCCAAGCATCTGATCAGTGTGTCTGGGGCCGAGTCAGGATGGCCATCCATCAACAGATAGAGTTGGGTGTCATCAGCATACTGATGGCAACCCAGCCCAAAACTCCGGACAAGCTGGGCAAGGGGGCGCATAAAGATGTTGAAAAGCATCGGGGAGAGAATCGCACCCCGAGGCACTCCACACACCAAGGAGTGGCGGGATGACAATTCCCCCCCAAGCGCCACCCTCTGTCCCCGACCAGAGAGAAACGAGCGCAGCCATTGAAGGGCTGTGCCCTGGATCCCCATGTCGGCAAGGCGGTGGTCCAGGAGTTCGTGATCGACCATGTCGAAGGCTGCTGACAGGTCTAGAAGAATCAGCAGCCCCGACCCCCGATCCAGCTGCCTACGGAGATCATCTGTTAAGGCGACCAGAGCTGTCTCGGTCCCATGACTAGCACGGAAGCCGGACTGGAATGGATCCAGAGCCGATGTTTCATCCATGGCTGCATCTGCATGTTTCTATTAAACATCAGAACACAGAGGAATAAACATTATTTGGAATTAGACTGCTTCTGCCTTCTAGAATTATACATAGTATCGTTCTTAACTCTGGGATAGCCAGACATTTACTGCTAAGTGTTCAGTTAATTTTTCTGTTGACAAAAGCATACTGAAATTGACTGCGGTGAGAACCAAGGTTATGTTTATGAAACAAAAAAGTGAATACAATCTGTTTCAAATTGTAATTAGATTAAAAACAAAGGTTATCTGCAAATATTCATTCCCTAGTCTCAAGGGTAAGTAAGGACCATAGCTCAGTGGTAGAGCAACTAACTACTTTGAATGCAGAAAGTCCTAGATTCAATCCCTGGCATCTCCAGATAGAACTAGAAATGTCCTCTGACTGAGCTAGATGGGCCAATGGTCTGACACTGCATAAGGCAGCTTCCTACATTCCAGCCTGCCTCCTCTGTCACACAGTAACACTTATGTACCACTATTATAGGACTACCTTCTTCTTATACCTCCTTCCCACCAATACTCCATCTGGTCTCTTGGTCTAGACAGTTTAAAATTATGAGCTTAAAACGCATCCAAAACATCTCAGCAGCTAAACCAGCTAGGGATATCTTACAGCCAGCAGCTAAAGGTTTCAAAGTCTGCAGCACACACGTTTGCCACATTTATTCAATTTGGGGAGCTAACTGGAATATGTTTCTGCACAGTTTCTCATCTTTAGTTATTTAACACTTTATTCCTCTCTAAGACCATAAAAAGTTTCCCTAAGAGATCCACATTTGGCTTTGACTTTTCAGATGAATGTGGTTTGTATCCAACTAAGTCAAAATCAGTGGACTTAAGTTAGTAATGTTCATTGATTTCTGTATGGCCTAATAGGAGACAACCTAGACTAAATACTGGATAAACAACACAGGAGGTGTTATAGTTCTATGCACGTTACTGGTGTTTCTCTTCATTTGAGCCTTCAAATATTTGCCTTAAGTGACATTTATTCTTAACAAATGCTTACAACAGTGATGCCAACACTGATACCAATATTAAGGAAAAACTATGGCTTTTTTCATGCTGTGGGATAAAATCAGTAGTGAATAATCTATAACCCTGACATCCTGTTGACTGGAATCCTCCATATATTTACCAGGGAATAAGTGCCTTTAATATCTATTGGATTTATTCCTAAAAGCACTGTTAGAAGAGTTGTTGTGTGCAAGGAAAGGGCCAGTAGTCCCTGAAAAAGCATGTGGTGGCAGTTCATCTGATAAAATTGTGCCAGTAGTAGAAGTACCAGGAAGAAGGAATTATGTGTTTCTTAGTATTTTATGAGCTGTTGGGTTTATAGAATTACTCTCAGTTTTATAAACTTCTAGGCAGTATGTATTTTATATAAGATACTCCAGAGTGGAGGAGAGCAAAAAAGGAATCCTGTTTACATGTAGCTTGAGAACTTGGCATTCTGGACTACTTGATTACCTGCTGACCATTTGGAAATTATTTTGAGGCTGTATAGTTGTAAGCAGAACAGGTGACAAGTGACACTTGATAAAGTTGCTGGAACGATCTGCTTTGCCTTTTGATCTTTAAAGTAAGAGTCTATTGGCAGGCTGCATTAACCTATCTGCAAACCGTAGAACCTCTGCTCAGATACAAGTGAATCGCAATACAACTGAGTCATGAATGTGCCAGTAATCCTAGTTTAGAAATGGCTAAAGTTTTGGATTTCAAGAAGTATAATTCTATGATCTAATATTTAAAAGCAAACAAACAAGATAAATTGTGGTATTTTTAAGTAAGTGGAATAGGAAACAAACGTTTCAGGGAAGAAAGGTACGAACTGTAGAAAGCAGATCCTTAGGTTATGTTGCTTCTGAATTAGGAACAGACAAGACTGCACCACCACATTTGGGTTCTAATGTGATAAAAACTCCAAACTAGTAAGAATGTAACAAATGACATGGCAAATAAACCTTAAATTTGAGAAGTACAGTGGTACCTCGGGTTAAGTACTTAATTCGTTCCAGAGGTCCGTACTTAACCTGAAACTGTTCTTAACCTGAAGTACCACTTTAGCTAATGGGGCCTCCTGCTGCTGCCATGCCGCCAGAGCACAATTTCTGTTCTCCTCCTGAAGCAAAGTTCTTAACCTGAAGCACTATTTCTGGGTTAGTGGAGTCTGTAACCTGAAGCATATGTAACCTGAAGCGTATGTAACCCGAGGTACCTCTGTACTAAAACTGTGCCCAGGCAACACAAGAAGCAGAAGCGGATCACTCCATTAAGCTATTTAATGCAATTCCTTAGAATTATCAGTTATACTATGTGGCCACCATATTGAGTTCTCCAAATTTTTCATTTATGTACACTTGAAAAGGAGCTCCACTGTATCATTACTAATTACATGTTATTCTGGAATTAAATGCTTTTGTTAGGAACTTATGACATCTCCATCTGATACTCAAATTATTTTTCTATGCCCATAGGTTGGAACAGAGCTCCTGAAGAACAATTTTAATTTGGAAAGGTTATTACTGTATTGTGTAACAGAAGGTTTTTCACTTGAAATTTAAGTAAATTTTGGGGAAACTTACCTATCTTCTTATAAGTTCAAGACCCTAAACCTAATTTACACAGAACTGCCTGGTTTTTAGAGTTCCAGGGAACTGTGCTGCTCCTGAACCCCAGAGCCTTTAAAACCAAGAATCTCAAGTTACAAGATGAGCAACTGGAGTCACACTTGAGCTACCTCAAAATGTCTTCTAGTCACCTAACCAGCAGCAGCAGGACAGTATCCAAAACACTTTAAGCCCACAACTTATGTGACAGTTATGTTCAAGGGATTGCACCTAAAGCCAAAATCACATACAGTATAGTAAAAAAATATGGGTTCTATGGCAGGTGGGATTGCTAAAGTCTTTTTCCCTGGACACCAGCTACCTTTCAAAAAAAAAACCAAAACTTTTTTGCCAAGCACATAAAGCTGAATGCGCACAAGTTAAATGTGCGTAAGTAGCAGGCTTACTGTAACTGAAAAGAGGTAATTCATGTTACCCTCTTAATGAAGGTGGGCTTGTATTCGAGTCATCTCAGCTATTCTGAAATACCGAAGGGGGGGCGGGACACAACACCAAAAGCAAAAGGCACAGAAATAAAATGGCAACAAAGTAAATTCAAAATGGTGCTTAAAATCTAACTTTATCAAATGATATAAAATACTGCAAAGCCCAACACATTTTGGATGAAGACTTCTTCAGGACGTGTAGGTTTTACTAATCAGGCAACATCCTTTTCAAGTGTTATACCAAGAATACTGCTCATAGGGAAAGTGAAGTAATGAGCCCTCCTTATAGTCTAGTTCCAAAGCAAACTCCTAAATACAGAGCCTAATTCCTTGCTTTTGTAATCCACAGCTTTATGTAATGGGAGATACAACGGATAAGGAAATGAAAGCAGATTAGCAAAAGGTAACCATAATCTGATACTGAACATAAATCAAGGTTAACATAACCTCAGACCAGTTAACAATGATTGCATATTGTTACACTAAAACAGGAACATTTCATATAAAAATTCTCAAGTATCTTGAAATCTTTTCAAAATCTAAGTAATTGTGCTACTCATTCCACTATTTGGACTCTTTTATAGAATTATTTTTTTAAAATAATTATATTTTTATAATTCCAGGAGACTTGAGCATCCTTGACCAGTGGATGCAAGTTATGCACTTTGGACACTCAGTCAGTTGTCAAAAATTGTTTGTGCTTTGCAAATATTTAGGAGTGTCTTCTATCAATTATTTCTATGAACTGTTTAAGAAGGATATTGACAAGCTGGACTGTATGCAGAGGAGGGTGACCAAGATGATCAAGGGTCTGGAAACCAAGCCTTATGAGGCCTGGTTGAGGGAATTGAGTATGTTTAGCCTGGTAAAAAGATTGAGAGGAGATACGATAGTCATCTCCAAATATCTAAAGGGCTGTCACATGGAGCAAGCAATGCTTTCTTCAACTACCTGTTTTGCATTCAAAGTATGACACAAAGTCATGTTTAGAGAGGCATTATTATATATGAAATGCTCAAGCACTCATTCCCCAGTTGCATACCTGCAACCAATATTACAACAAACAGGAAAGCCAACAACCAGGTCATGTGTATGTATCAGGCTCTCCAAATGTAATCCTTTATTATACTGTTTTCCCCCCTTTTCTTTTTCAATATACTGCTTTTTTAAAAAAAGCAAAAACGCATTCAACCTTACACTTATAACATCACTTACCATCATCCAAAGTGATGTCTTGCAACCCTATTGTCTGAAAATTCAACTCTTGATCTTCAGGTTCAGGTTTAATGTTAACAGCTGATTCCTCTGGTGAAAATGGAGATGAGTCACATATGTTATGATGCATCAAAGATGAAGCTGCAGGAATTCCACCCAAGCCTGGGCTGTGTGCCTGTGGGGACTGTTGTCCAGAGTGACCAACAGCAGTTGGAGGAGGAGATGAAGCGGGTCCTGAGCTAGGAGTCTGGTAAGGCATAGGCTGCAATTGTGGAGAAGATGGCCCAGATCGTGGTGAATGGCCCAATGAATGAGAAGGTTTTGGGGATGGCGATGAAGTGTTACCTGGATTTGAAGAATGGTAAGTAACTTGTTGCAACTGTGTTGAAGGGTGTCCCAGGGACTGAGTCATTGTGGAAGAGACAGAACTTTGCAGAGGATTTGGACAATGGTATCCCATTGACTGCAAATGAGGTGACGATTGTCTTGATTGAGTTGGGTGGACTGAAGGATGCCCTCCTGTTGCAGCTGAAGTTGACACTGAAACTGGACTTGAAGAAAGATAGGGCATTGTTGGTAGAGATTGGCAGCTAAGGTTTATCAATGGAGGTACAGCTGCATCTTGTTGAAAGGAAATTGCATCATATCCTTGGCTGGAGGAAGCAGAGTTCATGGGAAGACCAGTCTGTCCATTAAACATAACATTAGATTGCATAGGCTGGTAGGAAGGCCTCGCAGAAGGTGCTGATGTTACCTGAAAAGATTGGTGGACTACAGCTGGAGACAAAACATGATGCTCTTCACCTGGACTAATGCTTCTATTCTGGATGTGTGGCAACTGAGATACTGGTGAGGATGCCATGGATGTGTACGTCTGCTGAACTGGGCATACAAGGCTCCTAGGTGAAGTAGAAAGTAAACTATCATGCGAGAGCCCTGGATCTGGTGAAGGCAGCTGAGTTTGGAGAGAAGAGAGTCCTTTGACACCTGTACAACGAGTCAAGGACAATGATGGAACTGAAGACAAATCCATTTCATCTCTGTTCTCTTGCTTTAGTACAACTGTGAAATAAGAAAACCAACTATTTACTAAATTCACAGATAAAATGACGGACATCAGAACTTGGTCACATAAGATGCAACCTTATCCCAAGTCAGTACAAGGCCATGCATATCACCATACAGTGGTACTTCGGTTTACAAACAGTCCTGTTTAGGAACTATTCAGTTTATGAACTGCACAAAAGTGGAAGTAGTGTTCCAGTTTGCGAACTTTACCTCGGTCTATGAACGGAAGCCAAACGGTGGAAGGGCACCGGCGGCGGGAGGTCTCATTAGGGAAAGTGCGCCTCGGTTTAAGAATGGATTTGGTTTAAGAACAGACTTCAGGAACAGGTTAAGTTCGTAAACTGATGTACCACTGTATAATCGATCCTGACCAAAAGAAGCCATGTGAGTTTCATGCAGATGTCATTCCCAGCCACGGTAAGCAATATATATCTTTATTAAGGTACATGTTAGAGATTGCATGCACCAGGTCCCATATTGAAGATGGAATCTATGCCACACTTAACTATAATAGAATTAATTGTGCTGTTAGAAGTCAGAAAGAAAAGCCTGGGACCTGAACTGCTACCAACTGCAAGAACCAGAAAATATTGTGCCCTCCTCTCCTTGGCTATAATAACCCACATATATCTAACTCTGCTGTCTTTGTATAGATTTTAATTGTAAGCTGCTTTGAGAGTCAATCTTTGCTGAAAGTAGTGAATGAAATATACACAACTATTGATCATATAGGTTTACATTACCTAAAGATTTTCACATTATAAGCACTGGAAATTGTGAAGAATGAAGAACTTTTTACAAGCACTTTATGCAAAAATTAAAAAGCTGAGACCCATTTCAGTATGCAAAGTCAAAATTCAGTGTAGGAAGCATTATTTTTGAATCAGTCTGACTGTCATTTTATGGCATAGCTTGTTTATTTTACGTAAACAGTCATGATAATATGAACAAATTTTGCTTTCAAAATTAATAATCTCTGTGTGTAGTGAGATGGCATAATTTTACAAAATGTGTGTACCATTACTATTGTTTTAGACATCTTGATATGTTTAACTCAAGACAGTAATACTATATACATCTGAGTAAGCTGTATATGGTTGGTTTGAGACAGATTGTCAAGAGTGGGAGAGATGTGTATAAAGTGAAAATACTGTATTTTCCACCCAGCATTGACATTCACATTTATTCTGCATGTTGAAGGGTTTTTCCTGTTTCTAACCTTCAAGCTCAAAAGGTAAACAGTTTCTCCCCTGATCTTGGGTCAAGAGCTACAATTAATGCTTTCAGAATACCGCTGGATGCACTTCTCAACCTTTTATCAGCTGCCAAGAATTACAGTGTTGTACAAAACATCAAGATCCAATTTAGGCACTTTAATAGCCATAGCCAAATATAATTGCAAAAATAATTTTTAAAAAACAGGTACCCCAAATCCAGGTTAAGTGCTACTGAAATTTGAAACAAAGAACGTTTTGAATTTCACCCATGATTTATACTAGAAAGAAGGTATGCATGTACCTGGAGTGTAAGTAAAACGCTGAGACTGACTTTTTTTCCTCTTGCCATTGCAAACATAGAACTGCACCTGGACAGTAGCTGTAACTGTTTTGTTGTGGTATGGAGGAACTTCAAGAACAATTGTAGCCTGAATGAAAAATGAATGAAATTTGCATATTAAAAGCAAGAGCAAACATCTTCCCCTAAATAAGCCTCGTCCTCTCCAAGATCAGCTGGCAAAGCATATGCTTTCTCCCCTAAAGTACTGTACTATTTGTTAGGCTACCAAGCAGAGACTTTTAAGTGGTGGCATGTTTTTAAAGAATGGCCATCGCTGGGAAAGTTCAATAGGCCACCTCCCCATCTGTCCATCCCCTTTCTTTTGTATCAATAAAAGTCACAGAAAATCTAACTGTGATTTTAAATTTCTTATAATGCAGTTCCTTGATGCAGGACAAATTACCATATTAACGTTTTAATTATGTAAAGTATATTCCAGAATTTTCATTTGCTAACCAAACATCTAGACTACTGGACATGTCAGTGGCACACAAATTCAATTGCTTAGTCATGGCTGGGTTCTCTGTGGCTAAAAGGTAGATATAGGACTTCTGCTATATTTGCTGTAGTATGTTGGAAATCTATTATCCCCTTTTTTCTTCACACCATTTTGGCTCCTTTTACATCCCAAGCCCCTGGGCTCAACTCCTTTCCACTACTCCGACGCCCATTTTTAGTCTTTTCCACCTCCTCTGTTTTAATATCTTTTTTTCTCCTTGTTTCCAGATAGTACTCTAGAAAGAAACCTTTTTAATATTAATCTGGCCTGCCCAGGATATAGCTTCAGGAGCTCTTTCAAACCCAGAGCTCAGTTCTCAAACATATTAAGCAGCAATAAGATTATGTGGGTGCCTTTTCCCCTCATTACTGATAAAGCTCTTTGGCCTACATGATCAATGTAGACAATACAGAGCTGACAGGCAGTATCTCTCTAGGGTTTCATAATGGAATTTTTCTCACCCCCCACCTGGAGGTGCCATAGACTGAAAGCTGCAATCTTTTGCACACAAAGCATGACTACCACTGAGATAAGCCCTTCCTGAGCAATCATGATAGTCACAGCACTCAATGGAGGAAAGGCTCTGCATCAGAAATTCTGAATTCCAGGTCGGGTCTGCCACCTTTCAGGGAAGTCCTTGCAGAAAGAACATAAAACTTCCTCTTACTGGCCAATTCTGGTCTAACTGCCATGCTCAAAGCCAACTCCTAGAAAAACTAGCTAGCTCCTACATTCTGCAAACATTTTTTGCACCCCTACTGATATGTAAACACCCATGAAGTAGATCAGTTATACTTAAACATTTAACCTTTCTGCTAAAATGAGAAAATTTATGGCTACCCACATTGTGCTCAAGTGTCTGCCAAGCTGCTTACAAGGCTACAGTACATTTAAAAATAATTCCCCACGTTTAAAAGAAAGCTCACCTCTTGACTCCTTTCTCTAATTATTTTTCCTTCCACCTCCCACTGGGGCCTTCCATCTATCAAGAGAAAGATTTTAGTTGAAGTATCAAATTACTGAAAAAAGCAATCTAATAATTAATGATAGGCAAAACACAGACTGTAAAAATCCTTCATACTAGTTTTCCTTTAAAAATCCAAAGGTATCTCAATGCACGAGATCCCCAACATTTGAGTTATGCATAGTACTGACACAGAATTGCCTTGATTTAACTGCTAGCAAAGAGTCCAGAAAGATGAATACTGTATAGAAAAGGTAGGTTTCAAAGAGGAATCTGAAATAGGGGAGAGAAGGAAATTGTTGTTTTGGCACATTCATAATTAATTCATAACTAGTGGCTGCTGCTATTGCAGAACGGCTTGCATAAAAAAGGAGTGCAAAGAGAGGCTACACTTGGAGGTGGGGAGACTTAAGGCTCCTTCACCTGCTGAAAGAATAGCAAACCCACCAGGTTAAAAATCACTGGGAAAGTAAGAAGCAGCACCTTGGTAAGGGTAAACACTGCAATAATTCTAAGCAGCTAAAGCTTAGAATGTGCAGAAACAGTGGCTGTTGCTCTACACTAGTTTCTAATGTCGCTTCTGATGAGAAATGTTGCAGGGTGTGTTGAATTTTTCAATTCCCAAAATGAGGGCTGATGAAAAATTGTAACATGACTTGAGAATTCAAAAGATATTTTGGTTAAATTAATATAATTTTGGGTTTTTTGGTAAATAACTACATAATATTGACTTTTACATTTTTGTAGAATTTTGTGGAATAATCTTAAACTTGTGTTATTAAACAAATTGTGAAAAAATGTTGGGAAATTGCATTAAAATCATTAAAAATGATTGCCAAGTACTTGCAGTTATATTATATATTGCTAGTAGCTGTTATTTATAGATTTAAAACATTCTATATTAAATTGCATACAATTACACACATGCATGCACACACACACACACACACACAAAAAAAAAAATTCACTAATGTTGTGTTATATACTCACCTTGCCCCTTTTCAAGAAATATTATTTTTGATTCTGGAAGGAAATTCGATCCAGTAACAACCATTTCATGGCCTCCATTTACTGAGCAACTGTTAATGTTGTATTTCTCTATCTGAGGAAGTTCTTGAGCCGATCTCTGAGCTTTGTGAAAAAGATGTACAAATATACATAAGCATGCTAGAATTATAGCTAAGAGGGTAAGGTGGCCAAAGCCTGTATTTACCATTTAAAACAGTGTGCATCATTTAAACATAATTATTATCGTAGATAGGTGCTGGTAATCATGCAGTGTTCATTTTCCTAAAGGAGAGGAAAACAATTTTTTCTTATCCCTACATCATTATCACTAAGCTGGTTTCCAAGTCAACTATGCCCCTTCTATGAAAGGAAAATGCTAAATTAGAACCAATTTTATATAAATCTGCTGTGAGGCACAATTGAAGCTATTAAAATGGGTGGAAAATCCCATGTTGAAAACAATGCTACACGACTCAAATAATGTTTTTCATAAGAAATTGTGGTTCAAAAGTGTTTATATCAAAATGCAAGTTATTTTGTGGAGGTATGCATCAGATTTGGACAAATTCCAAATAAAAAACTGAAGTGGGACATATTCAGAGCTTTTATTAGCTGAAGGGGAATTGTCAGAAATGCTGCAAACACAAGTGGGGACCTCTAAACAGATTGAGGGGAATGTGACTGTTAAAAAAAACCTGTGCAGTCGATCTCCAAAAATGGAAACGCTTCTCCCTAAGCTTGCCATTTAAGGGAGAAGAAGAGCTCTTTAGCTTCCAATCAGAGGGATTTTACCAGGGCTCTCAAATCAACTTCTGGGAATGGATGTTAAAGTAACGTATCACCTTGTTCTTGTCTATTACGTAGTCTTTCCTAGTTCTGTTAGGGGTGTTTCCTTGGAAATGCTAGACATTTGAATCCCTCTGTCTCTGTACCATCTCCCCACAATCCACTCCTGTTAATCAGCTTTCTGATTTTTGGTGCCAATACAGCAGATCACAAAGCTGAAGTTTCCCCATCTCCCGCCACACTCATTTATCATAATTCCCTAGTCCCTACACCCAAACTTCTGAAATTGTGCAGTTTGCTTTCCTAGAGTATTTGATGCATGCCATTTTTATAATGAAATTGTTGCCCACAAAACTGCAAATCCCATTTAGTTCTCCTACCAATATTAACTTTTAAAGGAGCCCAACACAAAACCAAAACCCTGGCAGTAATTTGGCAGTCTTTATCCATTCAGGTAATGTTATGCATGCAAATTGCATCTAATTTTACACCATTATTTCCCTCCAGCTAGAAGCCCCACACATCTGATAATAAGGCAATAATATATATTGCCATGCTAAATTCAGAATTCTAATATTATGTATTTCTATAACTATCAATATGGATCTAGCCCAGGCTTCCTCAACCTCGGGCCTCCAGATGTTTTGAGACTACAATTCCCAGCATCCCTGACCACTGGTCCTGCTAGCTAGGGATCATGGGAGTTATAGGCCAAAAACATCTGAAGGGCCGAGATTGAGGAAGCCTGATCTAGCCAATTAATCCAACAAAGGCAAAAACTCAACACAACAGCAAAATAATACCTTAAAAATGAGTTCTTACAAATTAGCATCAAAAGGGGATGAATCCTGCATGAAATCAGTTTTTATTTTATTAAGTGTAGTCAAGGAGGAACACAACACAAAGAAGAGAAAACTTACAGCATTCAACAGGTATTGAAGCAGCTTGAAGGGACAAAACTTTTCCATTAGGCTGTGGGATGTGAACTCGAAACACAAGCCGCACTCTTGTATTCTTTCTTCCAATATCTGTCTCCCCTTTTCGAAGTTCTATGTCAGAATTGCGGAGTTTCAAAATGCCTGCACAGTCAATACTATAGGAGACAGAGAGTTGAATGAAAAAGTACATGTCAGGTGTTTCTTTTTATATAATTCAAGTGTGCGTATTTTATAGTAACTCCTATTTTCCTTCCTGCTGTTTGAATGCTTGTCAGACATGAAACCAACATCCATGTACATTGTTCTTTACTAGCTTATGTTGGAATACAGTCTCAATACCCCAGTACCATTAACAAATGCAGAAACAAAGAATGCTATTTAAAATTGCTGGAGTCACCCTTAGAAGCAACCACAGCTGTGCCACACAAGGAAACAAAACAATCTCTTATTTTTCCATGAAATGATAGTTTTGAAATGGCAAACTATGCATATAATAAAATGTGGAAGAAACTGGATGCTTTTTTAAATTTGCAAAACACTAAACAGGCCAAGTATTACACCACAGGTATATGGTAGAAGTAGACAAACTGTCCAACACTAAGGTCCACTCTGAAAATGTAGGAGTTAGAAGAACCTTGGGTGACTGTTCCTATAGTTAACATATGCCAATGAAATTCTCATGAGTAATGCTCATGAAAATTGCACATGCCAGACTACAGCTGGTGGCTATGGTGCACTTGTTACAAGCCTCATTCAGCAACTGTTACCTTCATGTATCACATTTCTTCCATCTGAACTAATAAATCTTGAGGGTTAGATTAAGCTCAAATTCACCAAGTCAGTTCAAATACAACATTCCTATCCCTCCAAACCACATGGTGAAGGCTCATGGACTCCTTTATCCCACATACTCTCTTCCTAGTTTGAGCAAACCATAGTCTACTTGTTGCACTCAAACTATGACTTGTGCAAAGAAGGAAGGGAAGGAGGAAATCTGAGTGCATGAGGGGAGGGAATGCACATGCTTAACCTGCCAAAACACGGGTTTGGAGATCAAGAACATTACATCCAAGCCAATCTATTTTAACATTCCTATTCGGTCAGATCTTAGTATTTTGCTAGGGGACGGGGGTGGCGCTGTGGGTAAAAGCCTCAGCGCCTAGGGCTTGCCGATCGAAAGGTCGGCGGTTCGAATCCCCGCGGTGGGGTGCGCTCCCGTCGCTCGGTCCCAGCGGCTGCCAACCTAGCAGTTCGAAAGCACCCCCGGGTGCAAGTAGATAAATAGGGACCGCTTACTAGCGGGAAGGTAAACGGCGTTCCGTGTGCTGCGCTGGCTCGCCAGATGCAGCTTGTCACGCTGGCCACGTGACCCGGAAGTGTCTCCGGACAGCGCTGGCCCCCGGCCTCTTGAGTGAGATGGGCGCACAACCCCAGAGTCTGTCAAGACTGGCCCGTACGGGCAGGGGTACCTTTACCTTTTTACCTAGTATTTTGCTATTACATGGACTAGAAACATTTGTTTTGTTTGAAAAAAAAAATTCAATTGTTGTAAATCGCTCTGAGGTTTTTTACAATTGAGCTATGTATGTGTTTTTTTAAAAAAAAAATCTGGAATCAATATGAATCATACAGAAATTGTGGAGGAAAAGGGAGTGAAAGAGAGAGCAAACAGCAATCATGAATATACTTACAGGCTAATAAAATTTACTTAAGAATTCTACTAATATGCAAATACAAAAAAGTAAGTGAATCGGTTATTATCTAGCCGATGTATTTATGATCCACCTTCTACATGTGTCAAGATGATTTACACCCATAAAAATCCAGATATAGTTTTAAAAACAATCCAAAACTGAAGATAGATTCAAAAATAATCCAAAGTGAAACTTTGCATCCAGTTGGTAAAAGCTTGTTAAAGTGTTTTCAGAAGCAATTGGTGAGAAGCCATCATTAGAAGATAGCACACATTTCCTAAGAAGTTGGTAACTACACTTCCCTAAATATGGCTGAGAAACCTGGAATGCAATATGTTGATCTGCTTGAACGTATCTTTTGACGTACCTGGCTGACATATTGTTTTCAGGAAGAAGTGGAATTTCCAAGACCTTTGTGCTTGCAATAATTATCTCTTGACTAGCAGTAGCAACTGTTTTACCCGTTATTCTATGCACTTGGTAGAAGGCATGTGGCCGTAGATAACGATCATCCGCTGTCCCAATGAACATCTGTAGGTTTACTGGCTTTTCACTATAACCCAGGAGCTAATAAAAAAGAAAAAAAGGTAACTTCTGAATCCCAGTTTTGTAAAAGAAATTGGCTTTGCCCAAATACTAAAAAACAGACGTTAATGCATTAGGAATGTAAGTCACACATAAATACATTTACTTACAAGAGTCCAAATAATTTAAAAGGCATGATTATGGAGTCTACTGGTTTTGAATTTGTCTCAAGGTATACATTTTTTTAGCTGTACCTACTTAAAAAACTTTAAATATGAATTCTACTACCACCACTTAAAATAGTTCCCATACATTCATTGCAATCTTTGTAACTCATGAATAATAATAATAATTTATTATGTATGCCCCACCCATATGGCTGGGTTTCCCCAGTCAACCTGGGCGGCTCCCAACAGAAAATTAAAAACACGATAAAACATCAAACATTAAAAACTTCCCTAAACAGGGCTGCCTTCAGATGTCTTCTAAAAGTCAGATACTTGTTTATTTTCTTGACATCTGATGGGAGGGCGTTCCACAGAGTGGGCGCCACTACCGAAAAGGCCCTCTGCCTGGTTCCCTATAACATCACTTCTCACAGTGAGGGAACCACCAGAAGGCCCTCAGAGCTGGACCTCAGTGAAGGAATTACAGTACTTTAAATATCGCTTTACTGCTGAACAGAAATGACAGCAGCTTACTTAAACCCAACTAGTGACTTGGCTTCCTGGCTCATCAAGAAATGTATCAAATGCAATCAAAATTCACAATCACTCCCTACAATAACTCCCCATTGTGTTGTGGGGAACATAATCGCCGTATCCCAGGAATAAGAAATGAGACATCACCTGACAAGGCTGCTAGTCTGGCTCATCTATTAAGCATTCAGAAAGCTATATCCAGGTGCCAAATGAGGGTTAAACAAGAGGGGGTGCTCTTCACCAGCTTAAATTTCACCTGGATTCTACACCAAAGTGATGGGCGGGACAGGCAGAGAGAGATACTACTTGGCAGGAAAGTTGCCCATGTTAATTGGCCCCAATAAGGTAAATACAGCATTTTGACATTTATGAACCAGCATGGCCTTACTACTGCCGGGTTTTCCACAAACTCCAACAGCTGTTGGGGACACGATGTTATAAACTAGGATATTTTAAGGAAGCAGCAATGTGCTGTATCAACTGTACTAAACTTAAATTAACTGCCACATAATGCAATGTGCTAGGGAAATACAGTATAACTATTCTCCAATATTTTATTTTTAAACATTTACACTGGCTGGAAGACGTTATAGACTTGTTCTGGAACAACAAAATAAGAACGGTTCTACATGTCTTGATGATCCTATGCTTAAAAAAGAGAAGTGTTTTACTAATCATGGCACTGGGGTCAATTAGACCACAGTGGTTAAGAACCTAAACTGTCCACCAATTCTCCCCATGCAAATGTTGCCCTGCAATAATGTTGCTTTGTATTTATTGAATACATTTATATATTGTACTTCCAACCAGGTTCCCTGGGTGGTTCGTGTAAACACAATTCAGAATAAAAACACTACAACAAGGCAATAAGCCCAGACAAAAAAAACCAAGTTAAAACCAGCAAGAAACACAGAAACAATTGAAACAATAATAATATGCAGCATTGTGTCATCTGCCTGAGCCATCTGCATAACCACAGACTGACCAAGGCTTTCATATGCGTGCCAATCAAGCTGGATATAATGGTCTCGGCAAATTTTCCCAGATCAATCTTCCTCAACATCAACTCAGGGACCATCTACATCAGCTCAGGCAGGGAAACCAATGGGAAGCAAGGTGGCTGATACACCAGCAGAATCCCTAATCAATCCCTAAACCCCAGTACAAGACGCAAACACTCAAGCCTGGCACATGACTGAACAGGATGACTTATGGAATTCCTATAGAGATCTCACAAGCCTATACTTATGCTTGCACTGAGTACCCAAAAAGGAACAGCCCAGATAGACTAACTCCTCCCAGCTCACCAAGTCTCAGTACTACACACCAACTCAGCCTCCTCATCCACAATTAATCACAAATGGATGAGGAAAAAATTGTTATTGACTAACCTGGAATTTAGCACTTGTACCTGAAGACCAGAGGGTAAGCTAGTAAGGTTACCATAAACCATCTGGGTGGAGATGAACTCTTGACATGATGGTGCTGAAGCAAAATGAAGATGGTAAAAAGAAGCACCTCCAGGAAGAACACAGGACTACAAATTCCATTTTGGTCTTGTAATGTTTCTGCCTTATTTACTACTTTTGTATCCTGCAGTGTTTGCTTCCATATTAGTGTTTCAAAACAGCCAAAATAAGCAGCTATACACTACTGTGTATCATTGAAAACTTGAATAATATTCTCTCCCACAGACACTTTGAACTTACTGAATTCCAGGTTGTGTTGATGCACAACAGACGCTCAAAATATTTCTAGTGAACTTCAGGAACTTCACAGAAAGAGCATTGACTACTGTACTTAATGAGCACTACCTCAGCAAATGAAAGGAAAACTACTCCACCATTTAAGTCCAAGACTGCTTTTACTTGAACACATGCTCTTTCAGGAATATGTTGTCAGAACTGAGATTCTACCTTTTTCTAGGCAAAACTAAAAGTAAAGTACCAGATTCCTGCCTATTCTTTGCTTAGGGTCTTTCTTGTGAAGAATACTTATGCCCACATTCACAATATGGCAACGTAACACTTTCCATATTTTGTTTGAAAATTGTTTTATTTCAAGAGAATACTAAAAATCTATTTTGTTTACACAGTTGTTGCCATCTGCAGGGCTAGCTCTGAAACCCCCCAAAATACAGATATATAGATTAGGGATGTGTGATAAATCGCCGTATCATTGAATACTAGTAGTGAAATAACATTGTGCTAAGTGTTTCACCAAAGTAATATACCGGTGAACAAAAGGTGGACACTAACAGCTTCCCAGGGGGCACCTCAGCTGAACGATACTTTACTTTGCAGATTATTTGCTGGCATGGTATATCCAGCTTTGTTTGCTCTCTCCCTCCTAACCGATAAGAAAAGCCCTCACACAAACCAGCAAACTCTTTCAGCTTCACCAGCATCTTTCCACTTAAAGGGTAAAGGGACCCCTAACCATTAGGTCTAGTCGCAGACGACTCTGGGGTTGCGGCACTCATCTCGCTTTACTGGCCAAGGGAGCCGGCGTTTGTCCACAGACAGCTTCCGGGTCATGTGGCCAGCATGACTAAGCCGCTTCTGGCGAACCAGAGCAGCGCACGGAAACACCGTTTACCTTCCAACCGGAGTGGTACCTATTTATCTACTTGCACACTGACATGCTTTCGAACTGCTAGGTTGGCAGGAGCAGGGACCGAGCAACGGGAGCTCACTCCGTTGCAGGGATTCAAATCGCCGACCTCCTGATCGGAAAGCCCTAGGCTCTATGGTTTAACCCACAGCGACACCCGTGTCTTTCCACTTAGAACTCAGCTAATTATGTAGAACCTGCTACCAATCCAGGAGGAACCCCGCCCCCCCACAGCTAGACAGTCAAGATCCAGCAGCAAACAAAGAACTAAACAAAGTACCGGAAAGCACTTCTTTCTTCTCTCACAACCCCACCAGTGAAAAAAGAGAAGGAAGTGGGGTTTTTTTTTAATTTTCTGGTGGTGTTTACGTTATTGGTTCCCCCTAAATAACTTTCCTCCGTGTCAAAAAGGAAGGGTTTTTTTATTTAAAGGAGACTATATTTTGCTTGCTTGCCCTCCCTCCCTTGGATAGAAAGGAAGAGGTTGGTGAGATGAGGGCTTTTGGGGGGGCTCTTCTGTGGGAGGGCAAATGGAGGGGAGATTTAGCTGGCTACCTTATGCTGAAACGGGAGGTTGGGTACTATGTGAGAATGATGGGGAGGGTGTTTTTCAGTAAGCAGTGCAAGCAAATTTGTGTCCACTCACAAGCAAGCCCTACTGAATTGAATGAGGTTAGTTGAAAATATATTAAATATATTATATGGAAGTTTATTTAATATTTTTATTAAATCTACTGCCTTCTTAAATTTTAAGGCCCTCCACCACCGCAGGAAGCCTCGTCAAGGCCCTCTGCTGCTGTGAGGAAACACACCCTCGGCCACTGCAGGGAGGTATGGCGGGACCCTCTGCCGCCATGGGGAGGCCCAGCAAGGCCCTCCACCACCACAGATATATATTGTGATATATCGAGATATCATATTTAGCTGGTGGTATATCATGATGTTGAAAACAAGATATCATCCAGTACAAATATAGATATATAAAATAAATAAATAAAATAGGTTGTGCCAGTGGATGTTCCAACGGTATTGTGCTTTACCGTATCATGTACAGACTATTTTATTGTACGTCTCCTTGGAGAGGAAGCTGAGGAGTTAAAAAACCAGAATAACTATCATCAATATTGTCTCAAGATTCTTTTTCCTGGCATTAAGGTTTCTGAGAGACATTTGACCATAATTCAGGGGTAGCACACATACTTTGTACAGAGAAGGTCCCAGTTATTTCCAGTTAAAAGAACCAGGTAACAAGTAAAGAACAAGACCTTTTCCTGAGACCCTAAAGAGCCATTGCCAGTCAGAGTAGACAGCTCTAGGACTGACAGATAAACTGGTCTGGTGTAAGGCACCAACCTATGTCCCCACAATAGTTCTGTTCCATGCAGTCTTCCTAACTACGAATCCACCCATGCAGAAGAGTTTTGCATGATTTCGCCCTTTACAAGTCTTCCAGAAAGAAAATGTGTGTGTCTACTTGGAATGACAGCTGCATTGTTGTCCTTCTGTAAAATCCAAAATCCTCATACAAGTTAGGCAGTGATAAATCATCCCATAAATATTAAGTTTAATTAGATTACTGACACCAATGCCAGCCTGTTGAATATGCAACCATATGTCCTTTACACAAAGATAGTAAATTAAACTGGTGGTTGAAGGGAGAGGAGATGAGCTAGAAGTGTAATATTACAAAAGGGAGCACAGTATATTTAAAATAAATTTATATTTACT